GCCTCAGTTTCTTCATCTGTAAAATGAGCTCAACAAGGACATGACAAACTACTCCAGTATCTTTGCCAAGAAAATCCCAAATGGGGTCACAGAGGGTCAGGGTCAGACATGACTGAATCAACTCAATAACCAAAATAAAAAAGGGGCACTTCTGAAATGCTGTATATTCTAGTTGAACAATATTTCTATGTTAAGATTAAGTAAACCTGTTAACTGTTCAATGACTAGAAGTCCCTCATTTGACTAACAGAGTGGGCTAACTCACCCCTAACAGGACGTCAGAAAAACCTAGGAATATGTATATGAATTCACGTACAATGAAGTAAGGAGAACCAAGAGAACAATTTATACAGTAACAATACTGTAAAGAAAAACAATTCTGAAAGGCTTAAGAACTTTGATCAATCCAAGAACCAACCTTGATGCTTCCATGTTCACTGAACTCTAAAATTCTGTATCCGATCACAATTTGACATTTTTCCACTTTTCCGTCTGCCTTGCAACCCCAATTCCTATTCTTCATCCATATTGTGACCTCCAATCCCTTGACTTCTCAGATCTTTCTCAGGCTATCATCCCATACATTGGCTACATTCTTCTTCCTTCCCTATCCTGACCCCTTGACAAACCAGTTCAGTTCTATACTGGGGTCTTGAGTTCCTTATTACTTTATCCTAGCACCATTTATTATTCCTGCCATCCATCCATTGCATTTATTCCGACACACTGCCTGCTGATCAAAGCTGTAGAAAGTCACCAAACCATAATGACAAGATGCATTTACTCAATGATGTTACATCTCAACTGGACCCTCACTGTGACAAGAGAATCCTTTACACCTTCTTATATGATACACTATCCCACTCTGTAGAGGGTTTTCCAAACGTTTTTACCCTTCTACACACCTCCCATGACTCCTCCTCCATACACCTTCTCGGGTAAGAACCTTGCCTCATATCTTTTTTTAAAAAATCAACAAAATCTACCTTTTCTCCCCCAAAGGAGAATGAAAGAAAATGAAACCCCTTGCTACTATTATGTATAACTAAGCAAAACTCCACACTGGCCATTTCCCAAAAAAATATGTCTCATTCTGCAAACTTGAGTCTTTTACCTCTCTCTCTGGAGAAGGGGTCACTAGTTCTCTAGAATCATGGCTGGTCATTACATTGATCAGAGTCCTTAACTCTTTCAAAGTTTTTTTTTTAAACCATATTGTTGCCATTGTATAAATTGTTTTCCTGGCTCTGTTTACTTCACTCTGCATCAATTCATATAAGTCTTCCCAGGTTTTTTCAAAATCATCCCCTTCATCTTTTCTTTGGGCACAACAGTTTTTCATGACATTTATACACCACAACTTGTTTCAAAACCCCTCTCCCCCAAGATTCCCATTCTTTGCCATCAAAAGAAAAAGCTATATTTCTGTACATCCTTAGAGTAGTTTTGTTTAGAACGAATCCCTCCTTTAACTACTCTCTCTCAAATTCCTCCTCCTCCCTTCCTATTTCTCTATTGAGTGAGATGTATTTTTGTATCTGTGTGCATATTTTTCCTTCCTCTGACCAGTTCAAATGAGAGTGAGGTTACAGTATCAGCCTCTTCTACCCCAAAATCCTATTCCTTGTTTGTTTAATAGTACACATAGTCTCTCCCAATGAAGCAGAAGACATATAGTGCCCTAAAGGTTAAGAGAATATTAATGTTGTTTTTCCAGTACTTTGTGAAACCCCAGTCTATTCTGTAACTTAAAAGTCCTTTCCCCCTTACCTTGAACTGGTACCAAAAGAATTGCTTTTGTGTCCCTTAGCCTACGTTCCCCCCTGTCCTTTAATTTTTAACCTGTGCTCTCATGCCCTGTAAACCATAAAGAATTCCCTTCATCTCCCTCATCCTATGTCATAAAATCCTTTCTTGACCTGTCTGTAATCTCTAACCCCCATAAAACTTCTAAAACTATCTTGTAAGCAACCATCTTCCTCATCCTGTCCTTATAAAACTGTCCCTGTCCCTCTTTAAGTTGCTAGTCCTCTTTCCAGAGCTAGCCCGCTGCTTTTGCATCAATAAAGCTCCCAATGATTACAGAGAAGGTCTAAGTGAATTCTTTCACACCTGAACCAGCTCTCCCAACTCTAAACCTCAACACCTGGACATACGGTACTCCTGACCAGTCTCCATCCCCAGTGTCTGCAGGTTTGTCTGTCTCCCTGTGCCAATTTAGGATGGAAAAATGATTTACTGAGACTTTTTTCTTGACTTTTCCTAACAGGATTCAGTCTGGTCTGTTTTCTAGATCTTTTTGGAGGAGAGTGAGGGTGGGAGGCTCACTGTACTGGCTCTATCTTTACCTCCCCTTGCCTCACATTTCAATGAAACACTGGACTCTCCTCAAGAGCTCCCTTTTTTTCCCTTTACCTTCCTCATCTCAGCAGAGAACCTTGCCTCATATTTTAGTGAGAGTTTCTTTTTGTCTTCCCCACCTCATATTACCCCATTTGCCCTCCACTACTAACTTCCTTATCCCTTAGGTGACTATTCTCCTTGCCAAGGCAAGCCCCCTCTACTAACAAATCCTGCACAAGTGATCTCTTTCCATTCCAGCTAATGTAGCAGACTGCCCTTTCTCACTAATCTTTAAACTCTCCCTTTCCACTGGCAGCTTGGCTAACATCCAAGTCCTCCCTCACCCCCTCCAAAACTCTTCATTTTATCAGTCCATCCCCTCAGTCATAGTCCAATATCCCTCCTCCCTTTGGGGCTAAATTCCCAGAAAAAGCCATTTACAATCAATGTCTCACCTTCCTTTCTTCAACCCTCACAGTGTTTAGACCTTGTCATTCAAATGAACTGCCCCATTCAAAGTTAGCAATTATCTCTTAATTAACAAATCTAAAGGACCATTCAAAAACTTCCAGATTCTTCCAGATCTCACTACAGCCTTCAAAGCCCTGGGTCCATCACCTTCTTCTCCAAGACACTCCCTTCTCTTTAGGTTTTCAACATACTTCCCCTCGGGCTAGTCAGACAGCTCCTTCTCAGTCTCCTACGCAAGGTCTTTATCCAAGTCATGCCCACTAACTGGTTGCCTAAGGTTTTATCCCAGACCACTTTCTTCTAACCTCTCCAGCACTATTTCACTCGGTAATCTCATCAGTTCGCCTGACCAGAATTTATCATTTCTATGCTGATAATTCTTAGATCTACTTATCCAGCCCAAATCTCTCTCCTGACCTCCAGTTTCATCTCTCCAAATGCCTTTTGGACATGTTGAACTAGATATCTCACAGACATCTCAGCGTGTCAAAAACTGAACTCATCTTTCCCTCCACAAACACTCCCTTCTTCCTAATTTTCCTACTACTCTTCTTATTGCTTCCCTAGTACTCCTGAGAGTATTTCCCAGTCATCCGGGTTTATAATCTAGGTGTCATCTTTCACTCCTCACTCTCTCAACACCAAGGTCTGCTATTTCTACCCGCTAACAGCTTTTCCCCCAAAAGAATTTGGGTCCCATTTGTCTGCACCCCCAGAAAACCTTTAAATTTTCTTTGAACTATCAAAGACTTATCATCTTTTAATTATCTGTGACTATCAAAGTCATAAGGCATGGCCTGAGGCTACTCAACAGGCCTTTCCTTATCTCTTATTCTTATTTCCAACAACCTCTTCCAAAACCGAGGGCCCCAGGTTCTTTGATACTCTAATGAAGATATTTCCCATCTTTTAGCTAGTCCAGACCCCATTCAACCTCTTCCTTCCCAATCTTCCAGTTCTTTGTTACCCTAATAAAGCCTAGCCCTTCACTGTCTATTCCCTGAAGACCCCATTCAACCTCCCAGACATTCCCATTCTCCCTAAACTCCTCCCCCATTCACTTCAGACCCTCCTCTCAGCCCCTCCTCCAAACACCCCAAAAGTATGTATATAAAATCCATCCTGACCCCCATTTAAAAACACTGAGATTTCCTCAAGCCTGTTTGTCCTTATGGGCGTCATTAATGCTCAGATTACTTATGAGTCTGGCCTGGATGGTTCCTCTTTGGCTGAAAGAAGACTTGGGTCAAATTCATTCAAGCAGGACCCACCGTATTGCAATTTCGGGACCCCAGTACCCCTACCATCTTACACCTCATCACCATCACGCTGGTCCAGCCCATCATCATTTTATGTTTGGACTTCTGCAATAGTCTACTGGTTGGTCTCTCAGTCTCAGATCTCTTCCTACTGTAATCCAGCTCCTCCCCTCAACTGTGATATTCCTCAGCACATCACTCCTCTCACTTCACATTCAAAAACCTCCAATGCTCCCTTATCATCTCCAGTATCAAATTTTTAAAATTCTCTCTGACATTCAAAAGTCCTTTGAAACCTAATCCCTTCTTACCTTCCTAGTCTTATTACTTCTCTCCACTTTGTGATTCTGAGATACTTAGTTTCGTTGCTTTTCCTCATAGGAGACATTCCATCTCTCTGCTCAAGGCATCTTCACTAGCTATCCCCCCATGCCTAAAATTCTATCCCTCTCAACTCCACCTCCTATTCTCCTTGGCTTCTTTCGAGTCTAGGCTAAAATATCATCTTCTATATGAAACTCTTCCAGATCTACCTCAATGCTAGTACACTCCCCTTGTTGATTATCTCCAATTTAATAGATAGACATATCTTGCATGCAGTCTCTCACTAGATTGTGAACTCCCTGAAAGCAAAGACTAATTTTTGTTTTGTTTTGTTTTTCTTTGCATACTCAGCACTTAGCATAGTGCCTGAAATCTATGTTCCAACAGACATTTAATGACTGTTTATTGATTCCCTCACTGACACCAGAGACCTAATGATTGAGGAAGCTATCCCCCCCTCCACACACACACACACACAGAGGTGATAGACTCAAGCTGCAGAATGAGACATACATTTCTTCACTTGGCCAATATTGTGATTTTAATTGACAACACATACGTAATGCTTATTACAAAAGTTTAGTTTTTCTTTTTTTTCAACAGAGGGTAAGGAGGCAAAAGGGAAAAGGGGCTAAACTGGATTGCCAAAAAAGGATTCATGATCATTGAAACATTAAACAAACAAACAAAAGCAGAGAAGGGAACAGAAGGAAGCACAGATAAGTAAGACAACTCTGAAAGTGACATGTTGAATTTTTTATATATACTTTAAAAAGAAAAGCAAGCTTTGTGTGATTTGCTGTATTGTATACAAATCTCTTTCTATTCTACTTTATATGCAAATGCTCATTTTGTTTGGCGTTTAAGTTCAGAACAAGAAAAAAAATTAATTTATGGGCTGAGCAGTTAAGAATAAAAATGAGGTTATGAACCTAGGATCATGGAATAATGGTACTTTTGAAACTAATAACTAAGTTAGGAAGAAAGGTGGGGTTGGGGAAAAAATATAATGAGTTCTGTTTTTAAGAATACTGACTCTGAGATACCTCCAGGACATCGGATTTGAAATGCCTAATAGGTAATTGGTGATGTGGGCCTGTGGGCAGCTAGGTGGCAGGCACAAAAGAGTCAGGAGGACCTGGGATCTAATCTGGCCTCAGAAACTTACTAGCTGTGTGACTCTGGGCAAGTCACTTAACCCTGTTTCTCTCATTTTCCTTATATGCAAAATGAGATGGAGATGGAAATGACAAAGCACTCTGAGAAATGCTGAATTATTAGGTTCCCACACAGGCTGCAAAAAAACAGGAAAGATGCTGAATGGCTAACTATTTCTACATAAGGTACAAAACAGAATGCCAGAATGAGGGGAGAGTGACATTCCTCGGGCCAGTTAAGCTAGGTTAACTTGTCAGCATGGTTCCTATTTTTGCAGCCCAAGGTCCGAACCAGCCCAAGCCGGTTGGGGGTCAATGTCTGGGCACAAGAATCTGCTACCACACAGGCTCAGTGAACCTCATGCATATTAACTAAAGAATCAGGATTATATTTCCATCAATTGTAACCCGGATTGTGGTTTCTCTAATTAGAATATGGAATTGTGAACCTAACCAATGGTGAAACTTTTGATTGTAACTCAGACCAATTCAAGTCTTGGAGGGAGGGGTTAGGGGACCAGACTAATAGCATAAAGCTTGCTCTCACTTCTGTGCTCAGTGTGCTTACTTCTTGGGAGAGAGTGCACCTGATTCTCTTGAGGATTGAATAAAGGAATTTCTTCCTTCACTCTAAAAGAGCTGTATCCTGTTACTTCATTCAACTCTAGGCTAGCTTGCAACTGGGGAAGCAGTGGGCAGCGGCAGCTTGTCCCAGGCTAACTCCCCAATCCTGCCAGTCCTGGAAGTCATTGGTAACTCCAGCATCTTTGCCAAGAAAACCTCAAATGGGGTCATGAAGAGTCAAACACAACAACAACATGGGCCTGAATAGTGACTATCATAGAGATGATAATTAAATATATGACAGCTATAAAGTCACCAAGAGGGAGTAAATAAAGAGAGGGCTTTGAGGAACAACAGCTGGGAAGCATTGTATGTATGATGACCCATCAAATTAAGACTACAAAGGAGCAGTTAGAAAGAGAACGGGGGCAACGAGGTGGCTCAATGGATAGAGCACCGGCCCTGAAGTCAGGAGGACCTGAGTTCAAATCCGGCCTCAGACCAAACACTTGACACACTTACTAGCTGTGTGACCCTAGGCAAGTCACTTAACCCCAACTGCCTTTAAAAAAAAAAGAGAGAGAGAGGAGAACGAGGGGAGAACAGGGTGATGGAAACTCCTGAGAAGAATACCCCAGAATTAAGAGTAATCAATAGTATCAAATAAAGCAGAATCAGAAGAATGACCACTACAAAAGAACATGAGTTTTAGCAATTAAAAGAGATCACCAGTAACTTCTTTAAGATTTCCTATACCTAAGTTTGATTAAGTACAACAGAAAAAAAAACCTTCTGTATATTTAAAACAGAAGTCCTTCATATAACAAATATTTTTAAATTCTGACATTCATCTTTAATGTTTTAAAAATTCTAGTTTAAATGATAAAACCCAAATTCACTCTAATATATATTCCAGAGTCAATAAGTAGAAAATAAATTAAATTTAAAATGTTCAGCTACCCAATATTAATTTCCTCAAAGTGTTTATGTTAATTTTTTACCTCTTTAACCTATAAACAGAAAAACCTAATGGCATTTCTCAAAAGAAGAACTGTAAACTGTTAACAACCATATGAAAGAATATTCCAAATCACAATTAAGAGAAATATAAATTCCCTAAAAATTGACAAAGATGATAAAAGACAGGAATAATAAAGTATTAGAGGAGTTATTGGTAGAGCTGTGAATTAGCAAAATCGTTTTGGAAAGCAATGTGGAATTAGACAAATAAAGTGACTAAATGACCCAGAAAATATCCACATACAGCAAAATATTTACAGTAGCACTTTTTGTAAAAGTAAAGAATTGGAAACAAAGTTGATGACCATCCATAGAGGAAGAGCTAAACAAGTTGTACAATACAAATATAATGTAGTATTGCTGTGCAATGTGAAATGGTTAACGTGAGGAATACAGAAAAACATGGGGAAGATCAACACTAACAGGTGCAAAGTGAAGCAGAGCCAAGAAAACAGTACATACAATAGCTGCAACAATGTAGGTTACAAAATTACAAAGAACAAGTATGAAGAGAAAAACATATGAGATGACACCTGCACCCCAACCCTCGCAGGAGGGATGTTCACAAGTGTTCTACATTGCATGTATTACTTTCATACTCTTTTGATGTACTGATGAGCTATGCTGATTTTCCCCCCCACTTCTTTCATTTTTTAATCTTTAAGAAAAACTATTTGTTATATGGGATGGCCCTCCAGGAGAATGAGGGGGAAGAACGTTGCAGAAAGCATAGCAATATATATAAAAAAAAAAGACAGCAATAAAAACATTATCAAGACTAGATAAACATTAAACAAGTTGATCTGATATCATGGGAAAAGAGTACAAGTTAAAATGTCTCCTTTATATATGTCTCTCAGGGAAATATAATAGCCAAATAAACAACACTTCACACTATAATTAGAAAGCAATTTTGTTCACCACAAAGGAAGAAACAAACTTCTATACAATTTGGTCTAACAAATCTCAGGTGAAAAAATGGTGACCAAGTCCACGAACTTTTGTGAAGGACAGATTTTGGGTGACCAGAGGGGTTTTTGGCTTAATTCTTCCTGGTTCCTATGTTATTTATTAATTCACCATGTGATTTTCACCTATAAAAAGATCTAAAATATTCTAATAAAATTGACAACCAGCACTGGTAATAAATGATAACTAGCAATAAAAGAGACTTATGGTTGCATATAACCACTACAATAGAACATTATTTTCTATTCTACCTATAATGTTTATAAAAACATACAAGAATTTTATGAAGCCCCTACAAGCTAAGAATCAAACCTCTCCAAATAAAACCAAAACAAAATTAAAAACTCAAACCTATACTGTCATACTAACAAAGTGAATAATAATTGCTATAGATATCCTTCCCATACCTATGTAAATATTTCTTACACAATATTTAATTCTAATAATTAAATGCCACATTGAAATGTTTTTACTTTGAACAACTATTTTCCTTTACAGGCATATGATGACCTCACATTTGATTTGATATATCAACTTCTCTACTCTTTCCTATTAGAATATGTAAAATTTGGGCCAGCTAGGTAGTGCAGTGAATAGAGCACTGGCCCTGGAGTCAGGAGGAACTGAGTTCAAATCCAGCCTCAGACACTTGACACTAGCTGTGTGACCCTGGGCAAGTCACTTAACCCTATTGCCTCGCTCCCCCCCAAAGAATATATGAAATATTCAATTAATTGTATATTGTAGGTCATATAACATACTATATAAAGCATGCATATTATGTCCAATGTTATTAAATACTATGTGCATACTATATGAAACATTTATATTTATACAGCATTCCATATGTAATTATAATTTTGTTCTAATAATAATTGTATGTAGTAGGGTATATATATTCTAGTAGGATCTAGTCAAATTTGTAGCATGTAATTGATTCTGCTCAATTTATGGAGTGTGAAAATACTGTGTAAATACATATGCAGAAAAGAAACTGTTTTGCCAAAAACAATGTCACTTCTGTTTTAACAGACGCCAGGTCTAACACTTGTACATAAATGACAGATCATTTCATTTAAACTTATCTTCAAACAGAAAAACCAATTTAATTTCTGCAAAATGTATTTGAAGAACTTAGAACAGAAACAAAACACTTTAAAAAAGTAAAAGTAAAGATGGAACTATGTCTGTTGGTTTTGCTTAAGTATTTACTTTTTATGAGGGGAAGAATTTCTATGAGGGCTTGGTTATTAAAGAATTCTTATGGTGTAAAAAGCACCAATAAAACTGTCTTTTTCCTAATTAACATCAGAAGTACAATACAATGAGGAAATCAGAATTTATCACCACTCTTCTAAAATCCAAGAGGTTTTTCTCCCTTTTGGGAGTGGGGTTATTGTTCAGGTTTATGAAACAGACATTTCCATAATAATGATAGTAATAATCAGCATTACTACAAAGCCCTTAGAATTGAATTTTCAATTCCTCCTGTAATGAAGATGATGTACTATACAATATCATTCTAATCCAAACTCCTTATGAAATGATACACTCACATCAATTCAATGAAAATTTCAACAAACATTTATTAAGTTACTGTTGTTTGTCCTTCATTCTCAAAGAGGACCAAAGATATCAGGAAAGTGATATCATGACTTGAAAGTGAATTGTATTTAAGTAAGGCAGAGCTATACAAAATCACCAGCTTCACTCTCTCTTCTGAAGCCATCTGGATCCAGTGGAAAGAAAGATTTACATCAGGATGACTGGAGGGGTTCGGACAGCCCCCAGAATTCCTTCTAGCTGAAAACCAATGATCTTATGAACTAATTCTGCAGAATCTTGGTTAACTCACCTCATCTTTCTGAGTCTTGGTATCTCGAGGTGTAGACCAGACTAGATTATTAACTGCCAGAAATTTAGAAACTACAAGTACAACTTTTTTCTAAAATAAAAGAATCAGTCTGTACCTGTATATTTTCTTCTCCTAATTAATGGATAAACAATG